TGTGGGGGAAATTCCCGAGAAGATTTGCTCGCGAAAAGGCTTGCGAATAATTTTCACTTCCCATTCATTAATGCGTCATTTTGTCGCATATCATTAAATGTTAAATTCAATGTGGTACTTGAAATAATTTTGAATTACGTCTATAAATAATTAGTCGCATTATGATAAAATAAACTTTATTCAGCGTGTTGGCAACACTACGGCTATAGGAGGTCACTGCTACTTTCATTGACACCTGTCAATCACTGTACTTTTCCTTTGGGTCTGACAAATGATTCAAGTAAAATCCTTGCGGGTTGCCAAATTGTTGTTCCCCTGACTTTATTCTCGTATATATCTAGAGATGGTTTGGTAGTTCAAGATGTCCTTGCGGACGCTATCGCCGTCTCCCTCTCCTATTTTCCTCTTTTAACTTAACTTTGTGAACATAAAGCACAAAATAAAAAAAAAGACGAAAATAACGAAAATTCAACTTTAAAAACTGCAAATTATGAAACAAAAAAATCGACTTGTAGCATTTAACACCTTCTCTTCTCTGTCGTTTTTTCTTCTCTCACTATCTGGCCCATTATGTGTTATTCTGGTTCCCAATATCTAAAACGGCACCGAAGGAAGCCCTGCTGCAGAAACGGTCACCTTCGGAAGCCATTAGAAAACGTCACCGAAGATCGCTGCTCGCCAGGACACCCGAGATCCTGGAGCTCGCCAGTAGGGGTTCACCGTCCTTAATGCTGTGGACGGGCCTGCCTGGATGCCGCAAACCCAGTCAAACTCCAGGAGCTCATTAGTGCAGGTATCAGCCGCCCTACAATGTCGAAGAGGACGCTTCCTGCCGGACGCCCGTAGATCCTGATAAAGATTACGAGGACGTCTGTACGAGCGCGCAGCCGAGAAGGACCTGGACGGAGATCTGCGAGCCGTGCATTAGGCGAATAAGCCGCCGAGTTGGACCTGTACGCAGACTACGAAGATGTCTGGCGAGACCTGCGCGAGACCAGTCGAGGACGTGAGGATGTCAAGAACGAACGGATTCCCAGGGACCAGAGCGAGGATGACGACACAGAGTGAGCAGCCACGGAGATGCACCAAGGATACCACACCCGAGATCGAGGACGAGCAAGTTGGAACCAGCCAGGTTGGGTCACCCTTGAGGAAGTCTAGATCGTCTCGAGGGCGAGCCGAAGGTAGGTGGCAGAGCGGTGTGACATACGCCAAACGGGAACATCTGCCGTTGACCTGACCCCCAGAGAAAACAGGATGCATGTGGCCAAAGGAAATATGACCATTGTCCTCAGGCCCTGCTGACCTGACCCTCAGCTGCAGAGAGAGGTCAGCCCCAGGCCCTGGAGGCCCGCTGCAGGCGGTCACGCCCACGTGAAGGTCGGACACTGGTAGTTTCTTTAGCCACGCCTCTGTGGCTCCGCCCATGGCTTCCAGTCTAAGCTTTTAATACTTCCCTGTCACCAATGTTTAGAGCTCCTTTATATAACTCTTACAGAGGGAGCAGCTATATATGATTCCCCTGCCAGCTCATAGCCTCTCCATCATCAAGACTTTTGCAGTGCCTCCTTGTGGCCACCCATGGAAACTAGGCACCTTGCGGTCCTCGGCTGTGGAGGCTCTTGGAGCAGCAGGAGGCCCTAAAGGTATGGAGTCATGGCCCACCAGCATGTGGACACGCCCTGGCTGTGGGGAGGCAGGGGGGGGGTTAATTTCTAAGCTGAAGAGTGGTAAAACAGCAGGTATTTGTGGTATCCCAGCTGAATTTTTAAAGGCTGGTGAAGAACCTATATCAAGGGGCCTGTATGCAGTCCTGTCTGCCATCTGGCAGACTGGTACCATTCCCCCTGATCCTCTGAGCTGTGTGGTCATCCCTTTCTGGAAGGGGGAAGGGGATTGGTGGGACTGCAGCAATCACTGAGGCATTACACTACTTGATATACCAGGCAAGGTACTTGCACACATCCTACTGAGACGTATCTAAGACCACCAGCTGAGGCACCAAAGGCTGGAGCAATCTGCATTTACTCCCTTTTAAGTCCACAATAGATCGTATCCGGGCACTTCGAGTCATTGTAGAGCGCCATCGTGAGTTTGGACGTGGGCTTGCTATATATATATATATATATATATATATATATATATATATATATATATATATATATATATATATATATATATATATATATATATATATATATATATATATATATATATATATATATATATATATATATATATATATATATATATATATATATATATATATATATATATATATATATATATATATATATATATATATATATATATATATATATATATATATATATATATATATATATATATATATATATATATATATATATATATATATATATATATATATATATATATATATATATATATATATATATATATATATATATATATATATATATATATATATATATATATATATATATATATATATATATATATATATATATATATATATATATATATATATATATATATATATATATATATATATATATATATATATATATATATATATATATATATATATATATATATATATATATATATATATATATATATATATATATATATATATATATATATATATATATATATATATATATATATATATATATATATATATATATATATATATATATATATATATATATATATATATATATATATATATATATATATATATATATATATATATATATATATATATATATATATATATATATATATATATATATATATATATATATATATATATATATATATATATATATATATATATATATATATATATATATATATATATATATATATATATATATATATATATATATATATATATATATATATATATATATATATATATATATATATATATATATATATATATATATATATATATATATATATATATATATATATATATATATATATATATATATATATATATATATATATATATATATATATATATATATATATATATATATATATATATATATATATATATATATATATATATATATATATATATATATATATATATATATATATATATATATATATATATATATATATATATATATATATATATATATATATATATATATATATATATATATATATATATATATATATATATATATATATATATATATATATATATATATATATATATATATATATATATATATATATATATATATATATATATATATATATATATATATATATATATATATATATATATATATATATATATATATATATATATATATATATATATATATATATATATATATATATATATATATATATATATATATATATATATATATATATATATATATATATATATATATATATATATATATATATATATATATATATATATATATATATATATATATATATATATATATATATATATATATATATATATATATATATATATATATATATATATATATATATATATATATATATATATATATATATATATATATATATATATATATATATATATATATATATATATATATATATATATATATATATATATATATATATATATATATATATATATATATATATATATATATATATATATATATATATATATATATATATATATATATATATATATATATATATATATATATATATATATATATATATATATATATATATATATATATATATATATATATATATATATATATATATATATATATATATATATATATATATATATATATATATATATATATATATATATATATATATATATATATATATATATATATATATATATATATATATATATATATATATATATATATATATATATATATATATATATATATATATATATATATATATATATATATATATATATATATATATATATATATATATATATATATATATATATATATATATATATATATATATATATATATATATATATATATATATATATATATATATATATATATATATATATATATATATATATATATATATATATATATATATATATATATATATATATATATATATATATATATATATATATATATATATATATATATATATATATATATATATATATATATATATATATATATATTATATATAATTATAATTACCCTAGACATGCACAAAATATGTTATTTGATCTAATACTTATAGCTTGTCTATTATGGAGAACAATAAATTGAAATTTGTCATTATTGTTAAGTGTTCATAAATCATACGTTGTTCTTATTATTGTATCATTTACACTGCTTTGAGATTCGAAATATGAAATAAATTTAAAGATCATCTAACCCTTTTATGTTTCATTATTAGAATGGGTTGAATATACCAGATTTTATAAAACATATTTATTATCAAAATGGTATACATTTTCCAAAATAGATTCTTGTTTTTTTACACTCCTTTAAGACGAAAAAAAAAAAAAAAAAAAAAATGAATATGTGCATATTCCTTCCACTAACGTAGCCCTACATTCCAGTTTATTTCTATTTTGGTCTTAATCTAATGTGTTTGAATTTGTGATGTATCTTTCCATTCTTCAGATTACATTGGTTATTCCACTTTCACTCACACAAAATCATTTGATAACTATCTGTCTATTTTCGACGTTGAAGTAGGGTGGATTTTATCGCTTGAAGGAGGCAAATCTGGAACCACAAAAGTAGCCAAGCTGTCTGCACTTCTGACACATTTCTTGCGGGTGGGGGCGGATTTCCTTCGGTGGGTCATCGGATTTCTCGTGCCTGACCTGTCGGTGAAGCCAGAATTGTGTATACCCATTTTTGTTCAGCAAGGCCCAATCATACGTTGTTCTTATTATTGTATCATTTACACTGCTTTGAGATTCGAAATATGAAATAAATTTAAAGATCATCTAACCCTTTTATGTTTCATTATTAGAATGGGTTGAATATACCAGATTTTATAAAACATATTTATTATCAAAATGGTATACATTTTCCAAAATAGATTCTTGTTTTTTTTACACTCCTTTAAGACGAAAAAAAAAAAAAAAAAAAAAATGAATATGTGCATATTCCTTCCACTAACGTAGCCCTACATTCCAGTTTATTTCTATTTTGGTCTTAATCTAATGTGTTTGAATTTGTGATGTATCTTTCCATTCTTCAGATTACATTGGTTATTCCACTTTCACTCACACAAAATCATTTGATAACTATCTGTCTATTTTCGACGTTGAAGTAGGGTGGATTTTATCGCTTGAAGGAGGCAAATCTGGAACCACAAAAGTAGCCAAGCTGTCTGCACTTCTGACACATTTCTTGCGGGTGGGGGCGGATTTCCTTCGGTGGGTCATCGGATTTCTCGTGCCTGACCTGTCGGTGAAGCCAGAATTGTGTTATCCCATTTTTGTTCAGCAAGGCATTGTTTAGTTACTACACTGAAGCTAAACTTGTCTTTTAAGTACAAATAATCTATTAAGCCTTTAATGTCACGTTTTGTATTAGAGTGCCACCTCATGTTTACATATTGATTACTGCTACAAATACTGTTTACATATTGATTACTGCTACAAATACTACGACATACAGTTTTCAAAAAGCAGGGCTTTTCTTAATCTCACAAAATAAAAGCAAAGCATTAGAGTACTTCATATGCAAAACACTATGAGAGCAAAAAAAATATATATATATATATATATTTTGTTTATACACTTTACTCTTCGCAAGGCTGTGAAAACTTTCAATTGCATTTCTCAAATTCAGCCAATACATTTTATTTTCAAGTCATATCTACCGAGAGCGAGTTCGTGTCCAAATCAGATAATTGGAAAATTCCGATGATCATAAACATTTACTTGTCCTATTGAAATATTTATACAAGCAAATCATCTTGAACAATTTTTCTTTGATATTTTTGTTCCGACAGGTTATATCATAGAGGTACGCAATGAATTTGGAAAACATTCATCGTAAGGCAGTCAATACCCCGTAATTGGACTCGGGCACGTTGGAGATTCATAACATGTCCTTCCAACGACCGTTATAATTGAATTCTAATTTTACCCATATCGAGTAAATATGTACTTGATAAATTGCTAAAAAGGCACTTAAACATTATATGAACCTCTATAATAGATATTTTTTTTTATCAAGAAACTAATACAAATATAAATCCCTAAGGCTACATGACAAATATATGAAAAATGTCACTTATTGGGTGGCTAGTGTATCAAGGTAGAGGGATACACTGGGACTTTGGCTGATGTCATTAATCCTCATAAATGCCGACTGGCTATGAATGCACTATCAGTCGTTGGGCAAGTTGGGGAAAAAATGTACTCATTCCACACGGTACACTCAAGATTTCTGGGGGGAAAAAAAAAAAAAAAAAAAAATTGGAATGAGAGTACTCATTCTACACAGTAAAATCAAGAATCAATAACATAACAGAACAAATGAATGCTAAAAACTTGTCCAGAGACTCTCTTTCCGTTTCTCTTATACTGTCCCTCCCTTATCGCTCTCTTACTCCTCTCTTTCCTTCCTACTGATCCACCCTAGTCTCCCCCCCCCCATCTGGGGACAATCACTCTGGAACTTTTCCAGCATCCAAAGGGCAAAATTGGGAATCAAAATGCTTCCTGAGCTCCCAGACCAGGTAAGGAGAAAAGTCCTCAATCCGTCAAGGAAATCTTATCTGGTTAATATGAATGTATCTGGTATAAGAAACACCTAATATTAAAGACCATTAATGGCGTTTCCGTCATGGATCTTGATATTTTAAAAGTGCATCTCAAGATAGTGGTGTATCAATGTGATCCTCGGATCACCCCACAGCATGATGGTAGCCTAATAGTTGAGGTTTTGTCACCAGATGAGTGACCGTCTGTGTATGATATGCAACATTCCTGGGGCTTAAGTCTCATGTTCTCACAAAAACTCAATCAGTGCAAGGGAATTGTTTTGCCCCGGGACTTGATTTGTATTCTGCAGAGAAACTGATAGAATAACTAAACAGTTCAAGATAAAGGCAGTAAAGCATTTTCAGAAGAAAGTTGATGGTGTGAAACAATCAACACCAGCTCTTCTAGCCTTTGAAACACTAGTCCTTCAAGAATTGGTTAAGGTGGCTTTGTACCACCCCAAGGTACGCCTTATGTACCCAACCCTATGTAGTGCTTCCACTGCCAGGGTTATGGGATGGAGCCAACTAGTCGCTTTAAGGAAAATGGATTAATGTGTGTTGAGTGTGGTACAAGAGGTCATCAAGGAGATGAAAACTGCCCAGGTCCAATTTGCTATCACTGCAAAGAAGCCTAGGATCATCTTTAAAGCAATGTATAATGTACAAGCTTGAAAAAGATGTATTGGTAATAAGGAGTAAGGAGAAAGTTAGCTTTCCAGAGGCAAAGCGTCCTGCCTGTGTGCTGTTAGCACAGCCAAGTTCCAGCCCAACCTCCTTCCCGTCATCCCATATCCTTCAATACTTCTTAGAACACATATTCTGCCACTATAGTTTAACGTCAATCCTCAAAGGAAGACTCAGATCCAGAAACTGCCTCTAGTGGGTTGTGCCACCAGAAGTGGAGTAGGAGTGAGGGGTCTACTGAGGAGACTCTTCCTCCCAAAGTAAGGTCATTGGAGCCATCAGGTGAGGCTCCAGAGGCCTCAACAGCGACAGCTCCAGCTGCTACCACATCTACAGGGGCCTCCACTGCTGGTTAGAATGCACCTGAATCAAAGGCTTCGGTCGGCTCTTTTGCCCAGGCAAAGAAACCCAGAACCTGTCCAAAGAAAGCCTGTAGAAAATAGTTCCACAGTTAAGTTAAGCATCTCTCCCTCAGTGGTTATGTTTCTTATATTCATCTTAGAAATGGGTTTGTATGGGTTTGTATTCATTACTTCTGATAATAGCACCACTTTTAATCTTCTTGAGGTTAAGCTGGGAGAAGGAACGGTTCGTCCCTGCAATGTTTATTTTGCCAAAGGATGAATATTGAAACTGCCTTCTCCCATGGGCACAGCACAGTATATATGGGTAATTTCAATGTTTGGCAGCCTGCTTTAGTTAGTCCTTTCTATACTGTCAACTATAGTGGCACATGGGATACAGGTGCAACTCATGCTCAAGGAGGCACCCTTGACTACACACTTACCTACAGACACATGGCATCTAAGGTCAGGTGCTCATCTGTCCTTGCCCATTTCCCTGATCAACTTGCCCTCAGCCTTCAGTACTCGATCCCATCTGTACATTCGGCTGCCTATCAATGTACCTGTATCGGTCTGATCTCAATTCTATGAGCTGCCTATCAATGTACCTGTATCGGTCTGATCTCAATTCTATGGGGAGTTATACTCGTTTCTTTAACACATGAATTTTATAACGACAATGTTTGCAGACCAAACATTATGTGCCAGCCTGAAGCTCATAAATGGACACTTGATAGACATATCAAAGCAACAGAGAGAAAGGCCGTAGAGGATAGCCATGTCTCTCAGAAGGATCGAACTCTAGTCAACTTACAGTACCAGATATCCAGCAGTGCCCTTGTTACCCTACAAGAATATGTATCTTGATGCCTGGCATGATTTCACCAATACCATCAATCAGTGTTGGGTCCAGTTAGTGACTCATCAAGGTGACAAGAAGAAAAAAAGCTTAAGTGAACTTAATCATGCACAAGAGGCCTTGTTACAGCAATCCAGTGTTCATAGTCTTCCTTCAAATTTACAAGTTGTGCTCTCCTCTCAGAAAACCGCCATGCTCTACAACCATCAGCAGCCTTTCCAAGGAAAGATGAGGAAGACACCAATAAGAAAGGATGAACTTGGTGTGCTTGCTAGTGGTAAAGCAACAGCTCCAGGTGACGACTGCATCTTGCGCCTCCTGAAAGTCGCTGGTGATCCTCTTCTACATCTTTACAATCTCTGCCTCCGACATGGATATGTGCCGCAAGGCTGGGCAATGGTGGGCAATGGTCTTCATTGTTCCTAAGCCTGTCATTAAAAACTTAAACCTAAAGTGCCTTTCACTTTGCAATTTAAGGTGTAATCTTCGACTAGTTTCTGAACTTTGGTGTTAATGGAAATATCTTGTAACAGATTTCAGGACAATTAAGCAATAGATTATCCTATGTTTTCTTTAAAGGGGCCTGCAGCACACTTAAATGCTTTGGTTTTAGGACCATTTCTTTTCAATATGCGCTTAAGCATGGCTTCATCCCCCAGCTCATTTACATTCCAGGAACAACTATCACATGCTATGATGTCGACATCTGTATTCACTCCAAGTCCCCAGAAAATCTGCAGCACTTTTCATTCATTTTACGCAAGTCCCAGAAAATCTGCAGCACTTCATTCATTTTACGCAAGTCCCTAGAAAATCTGCAGCACTTCATTTATACGTTAGTCCCAGAAAATCTGCAGCACTTCATTCATTTTACGCAAGTCCCCAGAAAATCTGCAGCACTTCATTCATTTTACGGATCTTTGTCTTCATGTTACTCATCTCCTGAAAAAAACAGGATCTTCTCTCCACAAAACCCACGAACACTACCTAAATTTCTAGTGGGTTCCAGCATTATACCATTCTGCACACACTATCTTTATTTCAAGTCCTTCCCACTACCTGAGAACATCAACATGTCCGTTTTATTGTTCATGAATTACTGGGACGGGTGCAATGATGAATCCCTCTGCTGGATAACCAACAATGCTACTGGGGTTTAGGATTGCTAACATATAGGAGTTTCATCTGCCTCCTCTAGCGGAACGAATCTATGCCTATGTACCATTCTTTACTGTGAACTGCCTCCACTCCTCCAGACTTGCTCCACATTATGCAGGCACCTTTAGAATGTTACTTGACCCTAATTCTCATCACCCACAATTCCAACCAGGTGGCTGTGCTCTAAATAACATTTGCAGACCTTGGAAGATTGGATATAATGTTCCCCAAGAGGAAATTGATGATGCTTCTCTCCCGTTGCTGATTTCTCCTATAGCCGTTTCCTACACTCACCTGTAGGGGGGACCTATTCTGCCAAAAGAAACATTTGGCCTTGGAGGCACTTGCTAATGCAACGTCTTCCATTCCTCCCTCCCACCTTCTATGTGGATGGTTCTTTAGAAAATTATGGTAGTGCAGACTGTGCCGTGTTCTCTCCTACTTTGGATCCACTAAATGGAGGATGAACTAGACTGGCCAAGCTCTACCTCCTGTGAACTGGATGGACCTTCTAGGTGCTGTTAGTCTACTTCTACGCACCAGAAGCAATAGACTGGTTATTTGTGATTCGCAGTCTGCCCTTCGTGCCCTCTGCTCCCCCAAGCCTGAAGCGCGTGGCCTAGTCAATCACATACTGCTCCTTCTAGCCATAGCCATTGGACATGAACTTGTAATACATTTCCTATGGATTCCCTCGCATGTCAGAGTAACAGCTATTTATGTGGTGGACCTTCCTGCCAAAGATGCATGCATGCTTGTAATACCTGCTATCCTGACGCCTCACCGGCCAGCCACCATATCTCTCACTGCAAGCAGAGGAT